CTTGAAAAAACTCACCATGTTTCTACATGAAATTCACGAGAAATTCAAAATCGTTCTACGAGAAAAAAATGAATTAGATGACAAGCTAATCTTTCTCGAAGAAAAACGTCTGACCTATTCACGCTGGGAAACTCAAATGTACGATATCTTAAAATGGATCAATGAAGAGAAAAGTGCGCGATCACATTTGAAAGGCTTAGCAAACAAAATGGCCGAAGAACTCGATCAGATCCGTGAAACGACAAGTCCGTTATTAAACATAGGAAGCACTTCATCGTCAATGAATGCAGCTGGAACAAGTCTCGGACACAACACGGTGCGTAATGATAAATCATGCCTATGACGAATTCTGATGGAAGAGATGTGTATCCCGATGGAATCATGTCTTTCTTTATTTCTTCCTATAATCAATCGCATCGTTCTAATACAGAACACACGTTTATATACCTCTCTCTCGATAGAAAGGAAGGAAGGATAATGTCAAAGTCCCCAAAAATACACCGAAGTAGGGACAAATAGCATGCGAAAAAGATTGTCACAATGTCGTCACGAGAGATAGCAGAGATATCAACAACTTGTCAGTCAGTCTGGGAGAATGCACTTCATGAAACGATTGATGATCGATAGGAAATGTGAAGTTTGTTTTCGTCACAGGCTTGGAAACATGGCCGATCTGTCAAACTAAAACACATGGAAATCCAACAATTGCAAACATCGTTGCAAAAAGAAATTGATGCAAAACAACGCATACAAGAAGAATTAAAAGAATCACAAGCAGAGAATATTCTCAAAGCGGAGTACGTTTGTTAAGAGAAATTTATTCGGTAGTGAATTCCACGTTTGTAGAGAAAATCTGCGTCTCAAAGAAGAAATTGAAAAACTCCAAAAACAATTAACTCACGAACAATCGAAACCAACTGTCAAGTCACCTGTTGCTCATAGCGTTTCAGGTAGGTCACATTGTTGTGTACACATCTGTTATTCGTATACCGTTTCATCTAATTAGATGAAATGTCAAATCTGAATAACAACTCGTCGATTGACCGATTTCTCCGCAACGTCACTGCAGGATTATCTGATGCGCCGGCGATCGTATGTTACTGTTTTACATTGGAATAAGCAATATTTGTTGCTGTTCTAGTTCAATGATACGAACAATGATTTATCGGGCACGTTCGATGATGGAAGTAGTGCAGGTGGTGATGATTCATCTCGAACAATGTCGGGATCGAATAATAAGATTCAAACAATACGCCCGTTGATACCACTTCGAGTAAAATGCGAATGATAGATTTCAACTCGGTTCGAATCGTTTGTTTTAGAATGATTTACACGATTTTATGATCGCTAATTTTCATGTAACAGCTATGTGTGATGATTGTCAAAATGCGTTAATCGGAATTGTTCGTCAAGGCTTCGTTTGTCAACGTAAGACGATGTCGTATACTTTGTTTGGAATCTGTTCTTCGATTTCAGGTTGCAAACTTATCTGCCATCCCGATTGCATGGAGAAAATCTCAACACCATGTCGACCATCAATCAAAGATCGAAGTAAATGATTTCTGCTGCATTTTCCCGTGATTTGATCTTCTGTTTCAGGTCGAACCATTCTACTCGATCAACATATTGTTCGAGTATGTATTACTGGTTTATCGGTGATTATATAAATGAGAAATTATCTGTTTTAGATTCCGAAAGCAGGCGGAATCAAAAAAGGCTGGAGTAAATATCAATTGCTGAATCTCCAAACGAAGCTGCTTTTCTATGAACTGTCATCGGACAAAGATCAGAAAATCACCTGGCCACAGCCAGCCTTCATCGTTGATCTTACGGATGACGAATTCCTTGTTTCATCCGTGACATCATCGGATGCATATCATGCGAACAAAAAAGATGTTTCGAGCATATTTAAAATCAGCGTATTGAAACTATCTTCACCGAAACAATTTCAACATACACTCTTACTAACAAATAACGAAACGGAGAAAACCCAATATGTCAATATGTTATCTGACCTTTCGACAAAAGTCAAAACATTGAAACAAAACGGTGCTACGGTACAAACACATTTGCTTGTTGTCTTTCCGATTCGAATTCATCTTGTTTATAGCGTGGTGCAAATTTTATTGCCAAAGAATTATTCGACACATCGAAAACATCGAGTCTCAAAGAAGCAACAGCTGCTGTTATTCTTGGTAAGTAACATTTTGCGAAAGAATGCCTATTAATTAAGAACTAGTTAAAGCGTTGTTTATTCGGAATAACTGAAGGATATGAGAACCATCGGGGAGAGAAAAAATAACCTTTACTTTTCTTCTTGTGTCTGTGTCATGGCGAACTTTGTTTTCATTGAAATCTTTAGATCAAGATCATGTGATTGTTTGTGGTGAAGACGGACTTTACTTACTCGATGTTTCTAAAGATAGTAAGTGGAACTTTTCGATTTTGTTTTCATGATATTTTGACTGTTCGATATCATTTCAGCGTCAACGAAATTAAGTGATAAGAAAGTTCATCAACTTTCGTTGATTTCAAGTAGCGATCTACTGGTCACCTTATCTGGTAAACAGCGAACAATTCGTTTGCAATCATTAAAAGCATTACTCGATCATCCATCATCGTCATCGGATAGCAAAATTGTTGAAACGAAAAATGCGACGACATTTGCTGCTCATTCAACATCATTGATTCTTGCTGTTGCCATCAAAAATCGTATTCTTGTTTACCAATTGTTCTCAACACCAAAACCGTATCATTACTCGTTTATCAAAGAATTCAATATCATACAGAATGTCACGTATTTGGAAATTTCAACGATTAATATTAACCAATCGGAACAACAGATTTTATGGTATGGTTATCCGTCAACATTCGTTGCACAACGACTTGATCAGCAATCATCGAGTGTTTCGTTATTGAGAGATGAAGATCCAACATTACAATTCTTTCGAGATCGACCAATTGAAGCATTACGTGTTGTACCTGTTACAAGTAAAATATTTTTCTTTGAAAACTTGTCTTTCGAGTCGAGTCCGTGCATTTTTATTTAGATTCATCATCAGTCAATGAACTGTTACTTGTATTTCGTGAATTGGGTATCTATGTAAGTTCGTCGACTGGTATGCGAACACGCCATAAGGAATTAATGTGGACTGCTTTGCCCATCTCGACGGGCTTTTGCGATCCATATCTGTTGATATATACGGATAAATCCGTCGATATCTATGATGTTTCATCAGGTATATGGTTACAATCATTACCATTATCACGTACGCGCTCATTAATGCCCGATGGTTCGATATGTTTATCACATGATCCTGAGCTCCTTAATCATCATCCGAAACTACTCTATTTGACTCAGAAAACCAATTTGAATCCATCTTTAAATGTACCTGAACGTGCGTCATCGAAAAGTTTAGCAGCACGTGGCGGAAGATTTCGCGTTGGCGGTGGTGGTGGTGTTAGTGGTACGATGAAATCAACTACCTCGACATCAATCGCACCCATATCAGGACCGAAAGATTTCACTCACATATCACATTTAGGCAAAGGTGAAGGTTTACAAATCATATCAGGTTTAAAACAAGTTAGTCCAACCAATACACTCTCATCGATTACTCATGGAAATAGTGGAACTATTTTGAATAATACTAACCGTCGATCGTTAATATCTGGTCCACAGAATTTTGTTCATTTAACGTGAGTAGACATGCTATTCGAAGTCGTGCTCATCCGTTTTGATCTGTTTGCAGGCATATTGGTCCATCAGATATTTCAACGTTTGCGTCGGATTTAACAACAACAAATTCAGCGGCGAATAAAGCTGTTATATCTGCGCCGATGAACTTTCGTCATCAAGTTCACATTGGCCACAATGATGAAATAGATGGGGTGAATAAAAAATCAACCTCTCATGACCAACAGCTGAACAGTGTCAAACAGCAGCAAGTGACGAGTAGTGGGAATTCGACATTATCGTCTCAATCACTTTCATTTAAAGATGATGATGACGATAGTGATCAACCTGTTGAATGATGAACTTATCTTGAGAATGAAAGGCCAGAGGATTATTTCGTAGTTTCTTTTATTCTTACCGATCAGATTCGAATCAGCACGAACATTTAGAAGAATCTTTTTTTTTGTATTATCTACTTTGGCGTGCAATCTTTTTTTACTCATGTTTTTCTTTTGCTGTGTGGTGACCCACGTTTTCTTCTTTTTTTTGGTGCCTTCTTCTTTTTCTTTGCGTACACTCACTCATACATATATACAAAATTGAAACTGTTTTCTTTTTCGTCTTTTTTTTCCGTTGCACCTGTTCTCATATGCTTACTAATGCGAAATCTGTACGAAGTGAATGAACGAATGTTTGTGGAAAAAGCCGTTATTGACTTTTTTTGTTCTCTTCTTTCTTTTTTTTTGAGCTATAGCTTTCTGCTAGATACATATGCTTGTTATTTGATTCAATCATTAATGCGGAATGTACAGATGTTTCAAATTTATATAGTTTCACTAAAAGTTTCTAATTAGAAAGATTTCTGTTCTTTTTTAATGCTATAACATAATAGAACAAATGCAAGCATTTTCTTCGCAAAACTTATCTGATGATCTTTGATATCGATGACAAACCGGTTCGCATCATTCCGACTAGAAATTTCGTCTTGGAGATGAAATGAGGAATCGTTGAACTTTTTCTAGGAATTTCAGAAATACGATGAAAGAAACTTATGACTTTCCTTACTTTTCCATTCACATATTCGGTGTTATTGGAAGCATTATAGATTTTAATAAAAATAACTAGAACGATTCTATTCGCATTGTTGCACCACACACATACGGTTGTGCATCGCCATTTTGTCTTTTCTTCCTCATTCATCACAAGGTTACTTTTTTCTACTTCTAAATATAGTCCTGTATATTACACGTGTTTGGTTTCATCACGTGCATTGTAAATACTTTTGAAATAAACCATAGAATCAGTCGGCCAATTTTATCGAAAAATGTCGCACACGGATGACAACAGTGCTCTCTATGATTATATTGTTATTGGTGGTGGGACAAGTGGTGCTGTTTTGGCTCGTCGTTTAGCTGAAGCCAAAGAAAACTATGATGTTTGCCTTCTTGAAGCAGGTCCAAGGTAAATTCATCAATATTTAGCGATAAATTCTCATTTCGAATCATGTTTGCGATTGAAGTGAAGAAGCCGTATTCGATAGTCAAATACCTGGTCGGAATTTCGCAATGATGAAATCTAAATATGACTGGGGCTATGATACTATACCTCAAAAAGGATGTGGTGATAGGATCTTAATTGCCCCAAGAGGTCGACTTCTTGGTGGATCCAGTGCAATGAATGGCACGTTAGTGTGTCGAGGTGCAAAGGCGGATTATGATCGAATTGCTGATTTAGGCAATCCCGGTTGGAATTGGAACGATATGTTGCCTTTCTTCAAAATATCAGAAACATTTCATCCAGCTGACTGGTATCAAGCGGATATGTCCGTTCATGGTACCAATGGACCTTTACATACTGAACCATATTTTGGTGCGCCAATTTCCGAGAAGGTTCTTCAATCGTTTATCGATCAAGGTTATGAATATAAACCAGATATGTTTGCACAAGGCGAATTTGAAGGTTAGTTGTCGTATTTGTGAATATATTATTTTTAAAATAGTTATTCAGGTGTTGGTCATGCGACCCGAACGATTCATGATGGCAAACGAACTACAAGTGCCGATTTTCTTCATAGGTCTGAAAAAGCAAATCTCAACATTCGAACACAGATCTTTGTCGATCGAATTATCTTGGAGCAAATCAGTAATACAGAACATCAACCTTCGTATAAAGCTATTGCTGTCGAATCTCATGACGATGTCACTGGTGAATCGTTTATTTTTAAAGCAAGGAAAGAAATTATCCTCAGTGCCGGGTAGGCAAACAGTGAATATGTACTTTGTTTTTTAAATTCTTTTTTGTATTATTTCAGTGCTTATAATTCTCCGATGGTGTTAATGCATTCCGGTATTGGTTGTAAGAAGCATCTTGATGAAGTGAATATCGAGTGTAAGGTGAACTTACCTGGTGTTGGTAACAATCTTCTCGATCATCCAATCGTATGATCACTATTTGTGTATATTAGGAATTTTGAATAGTGTGCATATTGTGTAGGTGTATACTTCGTATGAACTTTGCGACCCAAGTCTCACATTTGATCAATATGTGTTTCATAATGCTGATCGTCTGGATTACTATATCAGAGAATGGCATGAAAAGAAAAGCAATTATCTGGGCAAATTTCCTTTCGGTCCATTTGCTTTAACGCGAATTGACAAAACAATTCAAGATCCGGTTTGGGAACACGCGAAATCTTTGTGTGAGAATAATAAACAATCGATTATCGATCCGAGTGGACAGTTGCCGAATCAACCACACATCGAAATGTGGAGTACGGAACAATACTTCGGTGCACTTCGTCCTCAACATACAGGTTAGTTAACTAAATATGCTACTAAGATCACGACTTTTCTTCTAGAGGAAAATCCTATTTATCCAAAGAAGGATGAAGCTGCTTTTACATTAATAACTCTTCTCTGTGGAGCACTACAGAGAGGTACTGTACGACTTGCATCAAATCGACCAACTGACAAACCGGTTATTGATCATGCTCATCTTTCAAACGAAATCGATCTTGCTGTGCTTACTGAAGGATGTCGATTAGCTCATGAAGTATTGATGAATGGTTCCGGAACAAAGGACATCATTTGTGGTCCATGGCCGAAAAGTACATCTTTTCCAAATGATACTGCTGGTTGGAAAGAACACGTGAGAGCAAACTCGGGAAGTTGTTTTCATCCTGGTGGTACTTGTAAAATGGCACCTGCTGATGATCCCATGGGTGTTGTCGATCATCGTCTTCGTGTTCGACATGTGAAAAATCTGAGAATCGCTGATGTGTCCATCCTGCCTTTGCTCAACAGTGGACACACTCAAGCACCTGCTTATGCCATCGGCGAAAAAGCTGCTCATATGATTCTGCAAGATGCAAACACTTGACTAAGCTCTGAAAAAAGACCTGTTGTCTTTGATTTTAGATAGTTCTATTAGTAAACTACGAGTATTCACATACATGTTGTTAACTCTGATGTCAAATTAGTCTTCTTCTCGAAACGATGATGGAAAGAATTTTTATTTAAAAAAATATCACGCACATTTCAAGATTAACTCTGATCAAAATTAGAAAATCCTTTCGGCTTAATAAGAACGCTAAATATGACCGCTAGAAAATGTCATTGTTAATCAATATGGAAATGACAGCCTCGAATGCATACTGCGCGTATTGAATTGTGTAGTAGACCTGCAAATGCCAAGGTCGATAGAAAAACAAGTTGTTTGATCAAAATATACAAGTGTGTTAATGTTGTGCGTTGTTTTTCTGAGTACACATCACTCAAACGTGTCAACTTATTCAGACAATATTGACTAACTCATTTATTGCTTGACAAATACAATTGACTTTTTCTAGCGTGAATTGATGGAAACCATTGGCAAGTCTTTTTTTAATCTTCTCTGAAGTGATTCCAACAACTTGGAAAGATATATTTATTCATAATTAATACATGGCAAAGTGAGAATGTCGACTGTTCATCAAAGGCCATTTGTTTGATGGAGTAGTGGTGATGTGACTGAAAGATTTGTCGTTTGTTCATCTTCGGATCTTGTATTCGGGGATAGAACATCATGTAGTCTGATTGTTTCTTTCGATGAAGAACAAGAATTCGTTTCAACAGTTCGTTCATATTCGTTTCGAACTGTGATCAATTGCTGATTGACGATATTCACTGTCTTTCCATGAAAATGACTGTTCATAGTTCGTCTGCCTCTCAATGATGGCGACAACAAACCATGTTGTAACTTCCGACAACAGTAAATGTTCAGACATTCCGTACGGAATAGTTGTCCGAATACACAAAACGGTAAGAAGTTCGTCGCCGCGTTGATAATTGCGATTAAATTCGCGATGTTATGAAACCGTCGAACAAGTGAACTTGATGAGGCATCAAAAAAGATTTTGATAGTTAAATCAAACGACCATAGAAGCCAGAGAACAATTGTCGGACTTCGACACAAAAGTAATGTTAAAACCATGGTGATAACCATCAATGTCACTGAGTACTTCACTTGGTTCGAACGGTTTTGATTGCGGTGATCTTTACCGTTTATGCCGCTCGATTTACCTAAACGTTTTGCTCGAGATTTGACACGATGTAGAGCGCGAATCAGCTGTAAATTAAAGCAAATAATCGTGATTGTTGGTAACGTATAGACAAAAATGATATTGAAGAAAACATACGCCCACCGGTAGAGCCTCAACCGTGCCAAATTGCTATAACCTTTTGTAATAAGTACATTTTGATCGTCATCGATGGTAAGTAATGATTCATTACCGAGATCTAGAGTCGGAAAAGGATTCGGCACACGAACGATTTCATATTCGAAACATAATGGAATAGAATAGAATAGAGCGATGACAAAACATGTTCGTGTAATAACTTTTGCACGATGTAATGTGCAGAATGTTTTCGCGTAGATCGGATGACAGATCATAATCCACCGGTCCATTGTAACAGCTGTGGAGATCCATAATGATAACGTCCGACTGCCAGCAGCAACTGCGCCGAAAACAATCTCAACATATCGAAGAATAATACTCATGTTCGTACTTCGAAGAGTGTTGATACGTAAATCTAATAGATAAGTCATCACTATGGACAAACATGTTAACATATCCGAAAGAGATAGACCAGATAAATACACAAATGTCGATAATTGAGCACTGAGACGAGTTAAAACAATAACTGACAGTGAATTACTGATTAAACCTAGAATAGCGAATAGAAAACTCGCAATGGACACCCAATGGGCGACAGGATCCGATGGTGCACGATTAATATTCCTCCAAAGATTATCAATATCATCCGATGTCCACGTCGACTCGTTTGATATTGAGAAATTACTCATCTAAAAGATTCAAACGCAAAAAAGTGTATTTCTCCATAGATACCAACTTTCGATGTTCACTGAAATAATTCACCACGACACTTATATAACATAACGCATACTCTCTAAGGAATACTTCTTACTCATTTGATTCTTTACATTGATCAAAAATATAGTAGAACGCGAGATAGTCATATTTTTCGACACAGTAGATGTGAAACGTGAGAAAAAGCAACAACAAGTGTAGTCTAATGAGAGAACGTTATTTCAGTAAGAGATATTATCTCTAATATACTTATCTTTATCCCTTATAGGAAATTATGTTCCATTTGTCACAAAGATGATGCGATGTATTCATTTCCCATCTGCGTGTTTTAATCATGAAAGTGACATTTATTTATATAAGAACTAACGAAGCAATAGAAAAAAAAATCTTCTGGTTTTCCACTAATCTATAATGAGCGATAGCATAGAATATGTAATACTAGGCGTCATAAACATGGTGTAGGCCGTTCCGCGAAATTGTCAATTCTCCTCATTGTTCGCTTGATAAAAAAAAGTCAATGTGACCAAGAAATTGAACTAGCTTCGCATGATATGACAGCATCTATTGTAAAAATGCCATAGATTCCGATTGGATGCTTTGAAATAGTCAAACAATTGACTCAGGATATAATCTTCAATCAGTGAAAATGATTTTTCATAGAGAGCAAGCAATCTAGTTGAAATCGGCATTACCATATATGATTATTTACAGTCGGTGTCGTCTTTTTCAAAACGCAAATAGTCTAATTAGACAAGACAGGGACGATTGTCAAACTTGATTGTATCGAAAAACGCATTTATTTTGATAAATTCTATTACCGATTTGTTCGCAAGTCGACATTGATTACATTAAATAAGAAGGCACTTTTTCCTCTTATTGTTTAACGAGAAGAATGACACTGGTGTAATGAATAACTGCTAGCGTATGAATAAATAATCTTTAATTTTCAATAGAAGTGGCATATCTAACAAGTTCGTTAATAATGAATGAATCCTGTTCGCTGTCAAACATGAATGTGTGCAGATAAAAAAAAACAGAAGAGATGACTTACCCGGAGAACTAATTATCTTGGATGTTTAATAAAAGAAGAAGTACTTTGGCTATTTCTTCGAGTCATAATAAGGCAAATAAATGAGGTGCGTCGTTCTCTTTCTATTTCCATTTGTTGATTATAATAGTTGCTTATTCTCTCAAGCATTCTTTTTTGTCTCTTTTTCTTCCTTTGCTCAGCTTTTATCCCATTGCTTTGACGATGTCAATTGCTTTTTATCGTTACGACTAAACATCTTATTACTGTCATTGTGTGCGATTAACTTTCTGTTGTCGTCGTTCGAAACGACGCTCCTAAAAACAAAAACAAAAATTGCCCCGATATTTATATTCAATGTCAAAATATCCGCCGAAAAATGCCTCTAATGATCGCGTGATGATCATCATTCCCGTCATTAATTGAGTCTAGAGTAAATCTGAAAAATCGATCCGATTTCCTTTTATTATCAAAGTCGAGCAGCGTGTTCTAATTCTTATAATATTCTTATGAACTTAAGCCAAATGATGTGACAAGCCATCGACTGTTTTTCAATTAACAGAATGTAACAAATCTGTTAGTTTTTCTCCGAGAAATCCGATCTTGGAGAAATATGAAATTATATCGTGAGACTTTCGATTTCTCTTCTGGGTATCCAAACAGATATTGGATACGTCAATGATCAATCAAAAGCTTTTAATTGCATGAAAACACATTGAAGTTAAACTCGACAAAAGATGTTTTTTGTTGATTGTTTACATAAGGCTCGACTCCGTCACCAAGCTTTGCCTTATCGATATTTATTATCAATAATCCAAAGACAAACAGATGCCCCTATTTTCATGCAAATGATTTTCTTCCTTTTTTTTTCTTCTTCGGTATCGACATTATGATAGAGGTTAGCCTGATTCGCCCCGCTATTCGAATTTCATCCGAAATCGTCGAGAATAGTAAACACTCTTCGTTTTTCTGTTTACTTCATCGTTGGATATAGGTTAATTCGAGTATTGACACTAATGATAGAATGAGGGGTGTGTTATATATATATATATATATATATGTGTGTGTGTGTAAGTAGAGAAAAACAAGGAATATGTTGATGTTTTCTGACTTTCTCTTTTGTTCGGCTATATACTTGTACGTTGTTTTGTTAATCTCCTTGCCATTTTGTGAAGATGAATTGAGTATAGTTCCATCTCGATGTTATACTTGTCTGATCAAGGACGTGTCAACAAATTTTACAGTCAGTTTTCGTCGTATGATTTTATTTTCAGATAATTATCATTAACTTTCTTTTTCATAATAATTTAAGCTTATGATTGTTTCCGGTTGTGTTAATTACCCTTTTCCTATGAGCTGACAGATATGTTGTTTTGTTCTTCATATAATTATATATGATAGTTTCAACATTAGATTATCGAACATTGACTTCCTATCTCTTTGTGTTGGTTAAAGCCTAATCGTCTCATTCTTTCTCACATCTATCATTCTCTTATCATCAAACTGTACCATCGATAATTAAGGATGGAAAAGGGAGAGACCGAGGTGCCGAGCAAGTAGTTGTCAGTATCGCGTAAGGTATAGTTGTTGTTGTTGTTATTGTGTTAGTATTTTCTGTCGATTATTGATGACAGTATCGATCGTTTCTTTTTCTGAAAGAGAAGGAAATCTGCAAAACCACAGGACACGTTCTTGTCGTAATAGGAGGATGTTTCGGCAAGAGAAAAATAAGATGTGCTACTCTTGTTTTTCTTCTCTTCACTGCTTTCTCTCTTTCGTTTGCCAATATCGATAGCATACTTGTCTGATAATGATATAGCATCGAACAAGATCAATATGTTAGGGATGAAGGTTATATTTGTCTTGAGAGAAGTCTTTCTTTCTTTGATCAACGAAAAATTTTATCCACATTCTTTTCTTCGATTAGATATGTCATTCTCAACAAAAAGCTACTCAAAAGAATCGCGTTCGTCGTCGCACTATTCTCGTTCGTCTTCGTATCATGCAAGCACAAATAACGGATGCAGTTCGTCATATGCTTCTCATTCATTTACCGATGATCGACCACTAAGTACTCGTTTAATCGAACGAGATTGTTCATGTCCATCACTTGCATGGCAGTCGGATTTCGACGATCCGTTCTTTTTCGATCGTTTACGTTGGCGATTTGATAATGATTTGTTTAATTATAATTATGGATTAGGTCGTCCGATTCCCATCACCTATCGACGATGGAATAATTATTCGACAAGAAGTATACCGATACAACGTATCTCATCGACAAGTAACGTTCGCCGGTATAGGAAATCAGATAATGATGATTATTCATCAAGTTTCATAAAACGACATGACGAAAGTTCTATGAGTAAGTTTTCATTTGTTTTCCGAGAGAAAATCTCAATGAAGTGCGTTATTTTTAACTATAGGACGGGAGAATCGTATCACATCTGATGATTGGCCACCAAAGCGAGGTAAGTTGAACAGCGCATCGATAATTTACTTGTTTGACTTTTTAAGAACCTCCGACACGCAAACGATCAAGTTTGACAATCTTCGTTCAACAACCATGTAAGTGATTCTACATAAATCAATCGCAATTATTCATATTTTAATTTTAGTTATCGATCAATGCGATCTCCCATACTATCGTCAAACACCGCGTACACCAACTTATCCTAATTCATCACGATTTGAATATTATTAAATCGCATTTACTTTGCCATATGATATCTATATTAAATTAGAGTCAATATACCTTCTTGCTCTGTCATTTTCTCACTGAATAACCCATGTAAAAAAAGAACTTTTTTTTTCTCTTTTACTAGTAGACAATCAGTGTCATACACTTGTGCGAATGTCTATGCAAAGTTTGACCAAAGAAGTCTTTATTGCCTAATTAAAATTGCGTACGGAAAAAGCTCGTTGTTTAGTAATTCTATCAGGTCATATGATGTTTTTCGAGACACTTTAAATGAATGTTTTCTGTTTCGCTAAGGACCCAGTAGTTATTTTCGAATAAAATCTATCCGATCGAAAAAGAAACAAAGCACGTCAAATCTCGATTCGACGGGAAAGAAAGATATTGATCGGACTTGTGTTCGATCTCATCTTGGTATGATTTGTAACAACAAGTGAAAAGAGATTAACTCTTCAACGTTACATTCACTGTTGTCTCACGTCAATTGATTGCATAAAAAGTGACATCGGTGAACATGATTCGTTAGCGTTAATCTCTTCTGTCTATCGTTTTTAATACCTTTTTTCTCTCCTACCCTTTCGTTCGCTTTTCTTTATAAATCAATGCGAATTACTCATTTCTCATTCATTTCCATCATGTTCTTTTCGATCTATTTCTACTTGACAATTTTAATTTATGAACATCGCCTTTCAGCCATTCCGACATGTATCATCATCGATACGGATATCATCCAACAACCTGAAGAGAACACTTCGTCAATCAGCAATCGGTCGTCATCAACGATACTTCTACGAAATTTACGCATGCTTGATCATCAACGTTCACCGGATTTCGTCGCCGAACCGATTCCACTGTCTTACATCGATGTCAAGCAATTATCGACATCAGTATCGTCCACACCGTCACTGATTGATCTCGATGAATCGGTTTTAAAAAAAGCTTTAGTCGAACCAGTTGTTGAACGAACCTATGCGTCATGTTCGTTCCAGTCATTGAACGAAATCGAAACATACATGGTGGTTCCGTTCGAATTTCGTCGTTTACGTATTGAACAACCTGATCACTATACAAAATTTCTCGATGATGATCCACGCGAAACTGTACCTGATCTATCCACCGCTGTTTATGAACGTCGTTCAGATCCGGATGGCGTTCATTTCTGTCGTACTTGTCATGATGGTAAGTCACATACTCTTTATTCTAAAAATTTCCTTTGTCCTACTTTTTCGTTTAGGTTCGTGGAGTGAATTAGCTGTATGTGAGACAGTTCGTTGTGACGCCGAGCTTTTACGAGCTAATCCACGTCTGGTGACAGAATGGGGTGAAATTAAGCCATTAGATGGCGGTGCACTTTACGCTCCATCGACAATCTTCGCGATTTATGCATTTGCATTCGGACCACATTGTAAACGATGTGAACCCAATGGACAATGGAGTCGTTATGCGTTGCCAGAAATCTGTTCGGAAATCAAATTTTTTGGTCGTGGTACATCGACAACAACAGCAGCAGCAGCAACAACAAAAACAACAACGACAACATTGAAAGTTAATAAAAATATTTATCCGAGAATGAAACAAGGTACAACATCATCTGCCGTCAAATCGTCAAACAAAAAACAATAATATGTACGTTATTTATATAAAGATAAATACATTCATCTAGATTAGAATAATTCAATAGAAATAAAAACAATTGATTGTCACGAGAGATTTCTCATTGACTTTTTGGCATGTTTACCAATGAATTGACATAATTGATTAAGTCCTTTAAATAGATAGAAGAAGGAAAAAGCACGAGTGTTGTTATTAAGAGTAGAAATCGATCTATTCGCGTGTTCTACGTGTTGACAAAATGTCTTTGCCTCTACTAAAGAAGATTGCCTTCATCAACCTTCTGTCTATCAGTTGTGTGCCCATCGCAATAGCGCCCTTACCGTTTTTTGAGTAGATATAACTAACTGTTGAAGTGATTTACCACCACCCTAAATGAAAAGAATCGTCTAAAACCAGGAAAATCAGTTTTTTTTTCGACTCAACCTTGGTTAATATTCGTGTATCCGCGCCATGAGTAACCAATAACTGTGTTGTATTCAAATTACCCCGAATGACTGCCATTTGCAATGCAGTTGTATGTGACGATGCATCTTCACACTGTGCATTGGCTCCATGATTGAGAAGAAGTTCAATAGTTTCTTTGTTGCAATCATGTATAACTATAGAAAAAAGAAAGGCTCATTTGAAAATCATTTATCATTAAAATGCATTACCTGCTCGATACAATGGCGTCCATCGATGAATGCCAACTTCTCTATTCATTTCTAATTCTTTATTTTCATTCAATTGTCGAACAATGACAGAAACCGTTTCAAAATTTTTACTGTTGATCGCATGATGTAGTATCGATACATCTAAACAGGTGTGATGTGAGCAAATTGCATTATCTCGAGTCATTTCATCTACCATTCTGATCTCTATGATAAACATCCGCACCATGTTCAAGAAGCATAATACAAGCTTTGTTAAAACCGGTACTGGCAGCGACCATTAGCCTGAAATTACTCAATTATAGAAATACTTATCAATATTGAAAAGGTTTCCACTTACGCTGTTTTACGCGGACTAACGCTGTTGTTCACTTGAGCACCAGCATTGATCAACAATTCAACTTTCCTACAAAATAGAAATTTGGTTAAAAAGAAAAACAAAATTCTGTCAATCGTCTATTACGCTAGATCAAGTTTAGCACATGCGTGCATCAGCGGTAAATTCCCATCCTTATCCGGATGTTCTAACAGTGGATGTTCTGGACCTCTACAAAGCACACGTACATAAAACATCTCTGTTATTCTCTAAGACCTACAAAATCGCCAATAATTTTTCTAAATAATCTTTTCCTGGCATAGCAATTGCTTTGTAGACTGTTTCTCCAGTCATTGGTTCTGCTGCTGTTCCTGCTTGTAATATCGGTGACCATTCCGAACGTTCCCCTCCATTGACATTCGATTTGCATTGAATGCGAAATTCATACTGCGTGTTTGCCTTAAGGTTTTCAACTTTGCACGACATGGCAGATCCACTTGATACAAATAAAGAAATCGATTAGAATGGCGTTATAATCAAAACATACCTATAGACGCTTTCCCATACTGCACCCGATTTCTTATCACGTTTATGTAAATAAATTAAGGAACCGGAATGTGCTGCCCCTGATTCATCGAACATTCGTCGATGCTCCGGTCGAGATTTATCTTGAGCTCGCACATGTTCCCATTCCAGTTCAATCGAATGATGCGTCGAATGGACAAAAACAGGCGTCAAGGGTCTCTCCAAGCGTCCACCTAAGAAAATCAAATCAAAGTTCAAAGAGAAAAAGCAATAAAAAAAACATCTTCCTACTCATATTTTCCTTCCCTTCAAATGTCATTGAATTCTTCGTTTGACAGCATTTTAATTACAGTATATCAAAAAAGAACAGAAAACAGGAATATTTAATATATATATTTCTTTTTCTAAAGGACAATGACTGTATCCGGTCTTTCGTTTTCTTTTCTCAAAAACTCAACACTTTCTTTTCCTTTCAATTGACGACAATATAATCAGAAAGTTTTTTATCGATCGTCTTAAGATATCCGGAAAGAAATGTCAATAAGTACCTGTCGTTCGGTCGTTCGCAGCTATGTTAGAAAAGAAAAACGTGATATAAATGAATGAAAACGTCTCAGACAATTCTTTATTGTCTATGTTACTCAGAGACAATGGCATAACAACCACACGAGACGAATTGCACTTGTAAACTGAATAATCTGACTTGATATTGAATGAAAATCAATTTTTGCAAGGAAAAATGCATGACAGATTGGTAATCCTTGCGTGATCGTTAATAAATCCATTTGCATGCTACTTGTTGTGAATAAATTGCCTACAGTTTGTTCCTTAGTCGTCTAGGCACGCTTATTCATACGCATGAATCTTGTGTGGGTTAAAATACATTGCAAATGACTCTATCGCTCCTGACGAAATTGAAAATCGTGATTTACTGTATTGTTCCTCGTTTCGATATAGCAAGGTCAAATTCGTCTTAATTAAAAGCATCGACGAGATCAGATTCAAATAGTCGCCGCATAATTATTTCATAAATTAAAAATCTAACAACCATGCCTTCGCCTCGATCCTAATACTTATAGTTATGCGTGACATTTTTGTCTGTAATTCGAAAATAACAAAAGGTATAATCTTAGAAAGACTTTTCTTACATAAGGTTCGTACTAGGTTACACTGTAGTTTGCACTTTCAATTTTGAACGACGTAGTAGCGTTTATTTTAAAACAAGAAATGCTTAATTAACGTTAATAAATGATCATTCGTGGATAATACAAAGATGGATCTTTAATGTGGAACGCAATGAGAGAGTCATGATTCCGGTTCAAAAACAGTTACCTTTCGCTTATGTAAAGATCATATTAAACATGTCGTCGTCGAAGATAGTCGAATTAGATTTAATCTCGAAAAAAATCAATATTTATGTATGTTCAGCGATACTGATTGTCGGTGTGATTGGAGGATGTTTCAATGTGTTGATCTTTCTCAGTTTTCGAACATTTCGAGAAAATTCCTGTGCATTCTATTTGCTCGTTATGTCCGTGTGTAATCTCGGTCAGCTAGCGACAGGTTTACTACGTCAAATAATGGTTGGCGGATTTAGTATTGACTGGACGCAAAGTTCTTTGTTTTATTGTAAATGGAGAACGTTCTGTTTTCAAGCTTGTATGTTAATCTCATTAACAAATATTTGTCTCGCAACAATTGATCAATATTGGGCAACATGTCATCGACAGAAATGGCAAAAATGGTGTAACGTCAAATTAGCACATCGTCTTGCGGCTATATCAGTTATCGTATGGCATCTGCATGGATCTTCATATTTAGTTTTCATGAATCAAGTCGTTCTCCCAACCGGTGTTGTTTCGTGTATCAATACAAATTTAATTTTTCAACAATATATCAATTATTTTTTATCTCCTGTCATTGGAAGAGTGATTCCTCTTACGATTACTGTCGTATTTGCTGTTTTAGCTTATCGTAATGTAAAACGGATTAGCTACCGAACCGTTCCACTCGTTCGTCGTGAACTTGATAAGCAGTTGACAACAATGGTCTTAGTTCAAGCGATTTTCACTACTTTCGCTATTACGCCTTCAGTTATTGTAAATGCGATTATATCGTATACAAATTTAACGAAAGATCCATTGATATCTGCGATAATGCAATTGACCAATCTTATCATGACATGTTTGTATTATTTATACTTTGCAGTAAGTGTACAGTTTCTGAAAAAACGATCGATTAATCGAAGACTGTACTTTTAGAGTCCATTTTACATCTACCTTTGTGTATCTGAGCGGTTTCGGCGACAATTTTTTTATGTTATTTCGAGTCAATGGCATCAAAAGAAAATGTATGTTAATCAAATAGCACCACAGTCTGAATTAGAGAAAACGATTAGACACAACGCATCATAAAACCGCTCCCATCTGTAATAATGAACTATCAACTCGACTACAAGACTCCTTGTTCATTGTAAAGTACCTGTATCATAGTCCAGCATTAGTAGGAGATTGCATTGATATTGTCTTTTGTTAAACAAAGGTTCGTCATTTTATTCATTTTTACCAAGAAAATGAAAACATTTAAGCGAAAATTTTCAATATAAAGTTCAATTCTGACTTGTTTTTAAAGAATAACAATCACATCCATGACACGGGATAAACGCTTGGTGCTTTTCAGGTGAGCTTCAGACGTCAATTCTTGTGGAAGATACAAATTATAACTCAAACGCAAGAAGCAAACGTAGTAACAGGATTACATGACACCATGACACGCACTTGTTTGTTTTACTCACACAGAAATAGAACCGCGAGTCGAAGATTGACTAATAAAGTACGACGCCAGAGAAAACGGCTCGAAAATATCTACTCGCATCAATTGTACTATGAAAGTAACACGATTGACCGATTCTCAAAGCAGAAAAGCGTCGCTGAAAGACGAAAAAGCAAGTCACTCGATCGAAAATACATGGAATGTAGGTCGTTGTCCGTATACGCAATACTGCCCGGAATGAATTGCATATTGTATGTTATACCGCCGATTGGGAAAGAAAACCCGATGTTAATTTAAGCTATGGCAAGAACTTCGATCGAAATCACCTTGGGAAAAGTCGCTGACATCTAATTATCCGTGAAAATGCCTTCACACGACTATAGATAAATAGATTTTAGCAGGTATGAACAGTCAGCGTCACTGTCTTCAGTATTTGAATGAAAAACTAAAGTTCCATGCCTCTATGTGCTTCTGTTGATAAGTTTATGTATGGCAATAAGGTACACGAGATATCATTTATTAATTTTTGTTTTCATTCGTTGTTCTCATGCACATACGTTCTCCATCTGCAAAAATGAAATGATGTGAGTGTGAGTAAAAATTTACACTTCATGCGTCTTAGTCAATAAAAATATGGAAAAACCTGTTTATACTGGTATTGTAATAAACATTTTCATGCAAAGTGAATGTTAAAACAATTCCCAGATGCTATTCCCATTACTTGTAAAATCCTATTTTGTTGATAATGTAATTTCAATAACTTTAATTAGAAAACATAAAAACCGGTTGGTAATTTTTTCCTGTTTCTCAGACCGAGTAAATGCTGCATTCCATCTATAGAAACACCGTTACTTCTACATTAAAACACCACATTTATTTTACCTATGAAATTGTTCTTCTTGAGTTAACTTACAACTACAATGGTATATCTGACGATTTTATTCACATTCGCCACTCTTTGGACAACAACTCAAAGCCAAACATGGGCTGGAATATATCAAATGAATACAACATGTATCACCAGCACTTGCTGTTGTCTAGTCAATGACATTGTCCTTACTCGTCCATCGCTAAATATCTTGGCTTTCAATGCAACTTTGTCAGGTCAATGTTTCGGTCTACCTTCAATCACCAGTTCGATTGGTTATCCGGTTGGATATTCATTATCTTTATCAATAAGTATAGTAACGTTGACCGTTCTATTGAGCAACGATAGCAACACTCTTACTGCCGTTAATCCGTTAATCTCACAATGTACTGGACGGGCTGTACGAAAAACGGCACTGGTTGCTGGATCGACAACAGCAAGTGTTGGAACTGCTACATCGAGTGATGCACTCCATCATCGTGTAGATATGATAATATTGTTGTGCTTTGTGTTGCTTCATTGCATGAGAAAATGCTGGTGACAATGCTCTATCAACTTTCTTTTGCTTTTATCGATCAAAAATAAATTATTGAGATTCAGTGGCGTTCAACAAGAAAATAAAAGCGAATATGCAGTTCACGAATGCGTTTCTCTTGATGAAAACCAATAATTGTAGCGATGATGACGATGCACAGAAACCGACTTCCTATGATTGTTCTTTTGAATGAGTAATCAATTATCAAAAGAGTGACGATTGTTATAAATACAAATTCGATGAGTCAACTGATTCGTGCTATTGATATGTTTATTTCTATTTCCTCATTTTATATAACAAATGACGTTCTAATTTTTCCAACTATCCAGTTTTATGGGAAGATACCAAGCAAAATTCGTCTATACATATATATAGGACACCGTTTCACTGGTCCTTTCACATTTATTCGTTGTGCAGTGTATCAGTTCAAATTCAAATGGCAGAATGGATCCCCGTTGTGGTTCCCATCGCGACTGCGGTGGTTGGTGCGATTTTCGCTGGTGGTGCGAAAGTGGCAAAGGCATTGATAAAGAGCCGAAATCAACAACCGTTGTACTGGGATGTGTACGAATACGATTATTACGGTGGAAATTATTATACAACATCCCAAAATCTCTATGCTAATGGATACATGCATATGACCACCGAATATATACCAAGTTCCTCATCGCAAAGCTATTATCGTTAATATTAGTTTTGTAATGGGGAAGAAATCAAATGGTTGATGTTCTTCTTTTTGTGAAAATGTCTCTTTTCACACCTTACAAATTTCTTGTGGATGCATCCTGTATTATTTATTCATTATTTCTTCAGAAGAACAAGTTGTTCTTCTCAAGCGAAAAAGAAGAATGTACGACAAGATCCATTTCCCCGAGCACGGAACTATGACGAAACGAAATTGTTTTTTCCGGTCGATGATTAAACCTGAATAAAATTGTATCGTAGTATATTCATCTTGATAGTAATATCAATTGATAACCAATTACAAACAGAGTACGATTATCGCGCATTCAGATTGAATGTTTTTGTATTTCTTGCTATGATTCGTGTACTTATCTCACATTTACTATTCCTTTCTTTTTCACAACACGAATGGGAGACGTGAAATCAAGCGTAAAGTATTTTTCTCCTACTGAAAACTAATCTGCACCGAAATTGATCGATGCAACATGATGTCAGAACAAGTGAATCTTGTACTACATTGTTCTTCCTTGCAATACTATCTGATTGAAACATCAGGTTCATATTTATCGTTTTCTCCAACGTAGAATACATCTCTTTTTCTTGTCCAATTCGTTAGCTGAGAATAGCGCAATACAAAAAAATATGTTTCTCATGACGCATAATTGGAGGTGTTTTGTTTTTTTCCTGATTAATATAAAAAGATTATTTTGTTTTGATATACTCTCATATAGAAATTACTCATTAAAAAGGTAATCAAATACAATTACTACATAATGGTATCACGCGGTGGTAACGAATCCAATCTATACGGACTTCGTCCTGATCAGTTGTTTGAACTCCAAACAGCATTTCATCAAATCGATTCGAATCACAATGGTTACATAACCGGTGATGAGATGCGCGAGTGTTTCCAGCGTTTTCATATCGGATACACTGATGCGGAAATTCAACGTGTCTTATCTCAGATGGATTTCAACCGGGATGGGCGAGTCAGTTATGACGAATATATGACTTTCATGGCAAGAGTTTATCGGGGTGAAATTACCTACTAACAAATAGAATTTCCGTTTTCTGGAATCGACTTTTTTTAAATAAAAGTGTCGTCTGAATACACATCTTAGACGTTTGTTATACATTCGTTAAAGAAAAGAAATATTCATATCCGTGGTGATACGTATGTTTCAGTAGTTGTCGCTGTTAGACGCTAGTGTTGGTGATTTTGCATACGATTGGATGTTTCATTCTCTTCCAGCATTTTAGCTGCCAAGTCATCAACGACTATTGGTTTAATGCTGAGAAAAGAACGAACTTTTTCGGTTGCAACTAGCTCATTTTATTGCTTGTAGATTTGCTTTGTTCTATAGTCAAACTTGCAGAATCATGGAAAGCTTCTATCAACTTCCGTTCAACTTTGTTCAATGTCCAAATCTAAAATTAAAGAAACCATCATGGATCCGAAAACCGTCCAATACAACGTAAGTTTCTTCTCTCTCTCCAATATCTCTATCTCTCACGTTTTATCGCACAGCGTTCTATTTGGCCTGCTCGTTTCTTACTTCTTGGTCACAGCCGGTGTTATTTATGACATTATTGTTGAACCGCCAAGTGTTGGTTCGTATAAATCCTTCATTCACCCTCATATAACCTCATATGAAACTTTTTGCAGGCAGCACAACTGATGAATATGGCCATCACAAGCCCGTAGCTTTCATGCCATGGCGTATCAATGGGCAATATATCATGGAAGGTCTCGCCGCTGCCTTCATGTTCACATTAGGTGGTCTTGGCTTTATTCTACTCGATCAGACAAACAAACCAAATATGCCACGCCTCAACCGAGTACTGATGATTCTTTGCTCATTTATTTTTATCCTTGTTGCATATGGTGCGACCAAAATCTTCATTCGGTACGTTCGCGTTGCACAAGAAAGAAAATCAATTGAAAGTCTTTTTCTTCTTTTTTAGCATTAAAATGCCCAGCTACTTGAGTTAGAGAAATATTCATACAAGTTTAATGATCGATTTGCATTATTAAAGAACGTTTTGGGTTTTCGTTTCTTTTTTTTTATTTATATGTAGCATTGTTTTTCTTTTCACTGTTATTGTTATTCACATAGAACTATATCTTGATTCTTAAAAGAAAAACTAATATCACACACACACACACGCGCCCGTTTTAAGACTTCTGAATGAGATCAACAGATGCAGGACTTTTCTTTAATGCTCAATCCATCTTTCTTTTTTTATTTGTTAATTAAAAAAACAATTTGAGCATGTATAAACAACGGAAAAATCTTCTTTTTTCGTATCTTCTTGTATCGACTGGGATATGTATAAATGTGATTTATATAATACCAATTCGATTTGCAACATCGAGTGCATCGTGATCAGCCTTGAGTCTAACGTAAGCTTTCTTTTCACCATCTGGTCGGATCAATGTGTTGATCTTCTCAGCTTCGACATCATACATTTTCTTGACGGCTTGTTTAATCATTGGTTTGTTGGCACGGATGTTGACAATGAAGACCAATGTGTTGTTGTCTTCGATCTTTTTCATGGCCGATTCGGTTGTTAAAGGATATTTAACAATGGCGAAATGATCGAGCCGATTGCGTTTGGGCACTGATCGTCGTGGGTATTTCGGTTGACGTTGTAAACGAAGAGTAAATGGACGACGAAACGTTGGTTTGAGATGAATTTTACGATTACGTGTCAATTTGTTACCACTGAAAACGAGTGAAGGAGTGACTTTTTGATAGGAAATGAATTGATTAGCTTTACCGAACGACTCGTTGTTTTGCTTTTAATGCCTTGGTTTGAACCTTCTCTTTACGTTCTTTCGTAACGACTTTGGTAGTCGTTGTTGTTGCGCTACCTGCTGGTTTCGTCGTTTTCTTGGCACTTGCAGTTACTGCAGTGTCTTTTGTTTTGGTTGTAGCAGAGGTCTCCTTGGTATCTTTCTTGGGAGCCATAGCAGAACAGAGAAATCTGAAAGAAAAAACTTTTCAGTTATTATCTTGAAAATTTTCTATTTTGTGCAAAGATGATTTCATTTGTTGTTTATCGGTCTCTCTTAGTTAAATTTTGATTGGATTGTAATTTAATCAAAGTCATTCGAGTATTTTCGCGTAAGCCATCGATGAATTCGATGATATTATCACGTTTTGATAGTTAAATATTAATTAAAAAAGATTTTTCGAAAAAGATTGGTGAAGTACCATAGATGTCGCCATCGGTCAAAGTGGTTAAATTTAAAGAGTACGGCGATTTTCCATCACATTCGACTTTTAAAGATGAAAACACATTTTCTACTCTTTTGGATCATCATTATTTCATTCAAATAATCTTCCAATGAGATAAAAGAGAAGTTGTTCGCAATTCGAAAATCAAGTCAAATAGGAATTTAATTGAGTGCTTTTCAAATGATTAACGTTCTTGTTCTTCGATAGGAGATTATCTGCACTTCATAATTGCAAAAGTCTGCCTAAAACTGAATTGTGGAGATTTTCTATTCATTATAAGAACTCTGTAATCCTATTAGTTGCATTCAAGACCAATGAAAATCTTGCTTACTACTCTCCTTGCATGTAACTCAAAATAATTCAGAAATATATTTCATAAATATCAATATAAATAATAAAAGTCTGGCGAATTTACATTTTATTACACAAGATTTTTCTCATCTGAGATAAGAGTATCATTCACCAAAAATCTAGGCCATTATTGTTTAGTTAGAAAGAAAATAAAAGAAATCGTTAGACAAAAAGACGAACCAAGCGAGCGAACGGTAGGGAGAAAGAGAGAGCCAGTGCATTTGTTGTATATATTCTGTCATTCACGCACATTTCACGATACAAGTGAGAAGGATATTTTTTTCATTGACTTGTGATAGCAAACCGTTTTCTCTTTGCACAGGTTGACTTCTACTCTACAATTCAATCATGTCTGGTATTAAACGAACCCGACCTGACGATACACTTCCGTCAAGTCAATTGGAAACAATCAAAACTGAACGATCACCAAAAGTCGAACCATCGGCGTCACCATTCGTTAGTACTATCGAAGAAGAATACACATGGTAAAGATTGAAAACGAAACGAAAAGTTTTTCATAAGTCCCTCTTCTAGTCCAATCTGTTTCGAGTTGATCAGCGAAGCATATGTCTCTCGATGTGGACATAGTTTTTGGTAAGTGAAAAGCACAGAGAACTTCACATAAACATACTTTTCATTGTTGTGATTTAGTAACAAATGTCTGCAGCGTACAGTTGAATCACATCGACGATGTCCGAAATGTCAACTGAGCCTTCAAACATCTGACATCTTTCCTAATTATACCTGTGAGAAAGTGTTTCTACAGTAACCATTACCTTCTTCGTTTTCGTAGTGAATGCAATCATTGAAAAATATCGTCAACAACGTCCATTACCACAAACATTTGCCAAATATGGTGTAAGTATAGTTTTCTTTGGATTCTTGGTGAAAATGAGAATTCATTCAGAGCATTGTTGATCATATTTCGGACATGGTAACGAATGTTCATACAGTAAATGTTCAAGATCTCGATAAACTAATATCAGTCATTCGTCAACATAAGGACAAACTCGATTCGGTATGTTTTGTTCATTCGATTTCTTTCGAGATTCTGTTTTTGACTCTTTTCATAGAATAATGAATATGTTCACAATCGTCTATTGGAAATCTTTCTAACTCATGTTCATCACGAGCGAAGCGGAGTAAGACAGGACTTTTCTTGAAATCCAAACAAACTGTTTTCTCTCTAGGCAATCGAGTCTCTTTCCAAAGAATTGAATATTGTTGACAAAGATCTGAAACAAATGAATAAACGACAAAAATGCTCAACAACATCAAATGTCAGCATACCAAGTAATCCAACTTCGAAACAGACAATCGATGATGACTCCTTACCATCATCGGACTCGGCAAATAACATCAAAGAAGATTTGTCTTCGTCGAATGATATCACGATTGTTAATGACACTGTTCCAAATTGGGTTCAATCCGGAGGACAGGTAAAACTTGTATTCGAAGAAAAACACATCCCCTCTAGAATAACTTTTGTAGGATCTCCGAGCAACACCAGATATGAAAACGGAAAAACAAGATTTACCACCGACGACGACAGCAACAACAACTTCAGCGCGAATTGTATCGACTGGTGCTGTTGTATGTTGAAATTTCATTCGAATCTTTCTTTCTCACTATCGTTTCTTTCAGGTACCAGAGGAAACCAATCAATATGACGATATAGAAAATCGCACGAAGATCATGATGCGTTTCATGGACGATTTGACTAATATTTATTTTTCTACACGAAACTCTCTAAGATTAACTGTTGACAATGGTAAATCGTTTTCCACTGAATTTCAATTTATCTTCATTGTTATTTCCGAATAGATGGTTCATGTAATGGTGATAGTGGTTTGGGCACATTTCGAGATAGTCTTGCAGCAGTAACGAAATATTCGCGATGTAAACCGATCGCTACCGTGAATTTTGTCGGAGAAAATTTTGCACAAGCGAGCATTGTGTCAAGGTAAGTTTTCATTAGTTTGGATACAATTATGAATTTGAATTTGTTTTAGCATTGAATTCGATCGTGATTATGAGCATTTTGCTGTTGCTGGTGTATCGAAAAAGATTAAAGTAAAGATTTGAAAGCATTTCTTTTTGAAATTCTATTTCAATATTTTCAAGTTATATGAATATCAATCGGTGTTGGACAATTCAGTTGATTTACATTATCCGTCGAAAGAAGTCGCATGTACAGCTAAATTGAGTTGTATTAGTTGGAATCCATATTTGAGAAACTATTTGGCATCGAGTGATTATGATGGATTCGTTACGATTTGGGATATGGCCACCGCGCAGAAAGTTCGAACATTTCAAGTAAATATTCTCCTTTGCTCTATTTCATAGAAAGAATGAGTTGTTTAGGAACATGAAAAACGTTCGTGGAGTGTGGATTTTTGCTCATCAGATCCAAAATTACTCGCATCGTGTTCGGATGACTGTCGTGGTATGATGAATCC